TACACATTCAGACCGACCGGTAAGCAAAGCTCTTTACATATTTAAAAAGGAAAAGAAAACAAAAATAAAAAAAATGAACATTGCTGAAAACTGCACATAATAAAACCAGCAGCAGAGAACAAAAATACGGCAGCATGTAAAGAAGTCAAAACAGAAGAGAGCTTGCAGTATGATATCAGCCCCAAAAGTTCTTAAATGTCTCGAACCTGACAAATGTTTTAAAGCAGGGATGAGGTAGGGAACTTTAATAAAAAGCTAAATTGAGAGGTCAGGAAGTACATGCTAGGAGTGGGTGTGACCAGTGCCCAAAGTGCTTGGAGCCGCTATTGGCATCGATGCCATCTTTCTCTCACACATACACATACACAAAGCCAAATACAACTGCAGAAGGAAAGGGGAGGGCAAAGCCCCAAATCAGACTTGACGGCAGTGGGAGTTTGTAAGGTGAAGGCATAGTGGGAAATGTTAGGAAGAGCTGGATCAAAAGAAGGTGTTCATGTACAAACATAAGCACACATGCATATTTGTATACAGAGAGGGACACATGGAAGCAAACAAAAATTCAGATAGACCAGTGGTTCCCAACCTCGGGTAACTCTAGTTTTTTTAGACTGCAACTCCCAGAAGCCCTCACCACTAGCAGGGTTGGATGGGATTTCTGGCAGTTGCAGTCCAAGAACATATGGGTTATGCAAGGTTGGGAACCACTGATATAGGCACCTCAGAGCTATTGCATCAAACATTGCCTTGCTCCATTCACTCCACAATTCAGTTCAGGAGGGGAAAAAATACAGATGGGCCTCAAATTAGAAATATTTATTTGGGCTGCTGTTTCTCCTGGGGTTGATTTCAGTCAGGTTTATTCTCACAAATGCATTCTCTCTCTCTTTTTTTCTTTCTCGCTTCTCTCCCCTTTCTCTCTCTCTCTCTCTTTTTTCTTTCTCGCTTCTCTCCCCGGCCTTTCAAATACTCTCTCACAGTTTCTCCACCCTCATAATTATATTCTATATGAGGCCAGGAATTTGGCACAAGGAGAAGGAGGCCTGATCCACCACCTCAAGAAAGGAGGCTTGGGTTTCTCACTGGGAGAAAGGAGGCCTAGACATGAAACAGATACACAAAAACAAACCGACTGGCTGAGAAGACCTGGATCTTGTGCAGTACCTCATTTGCTCTGAGGGACCAATGGCAGAACCTCCACTGTCCCTTAAGCAATTGAATTAGCTAGGAATCATCGCCACTCTTCCCACATTCCCCATTCAAGAAGGAGTTAAGAGGAGCTGGAGCTAAATGTTCAAAGGCTCTCCTGAGTACTCCTTGAAGCTATGGTTCAGGTGGTAGCCGCTCTCTGGCCTCCTCTTCCCTCACTGTGGTTGTGGAACTGTGGAGAGTATGTTGGCCCTTGGGTGAGAAATTCAAGGGCTGCATGGAGAGAGACAGCAAGCCACATTCAACCCACTGACCAGAGGCTTCCCACCTGTATTTTCAGAGAAGGCAGGCATGTGTAGGTTAGTCGAATCTAGTTTGTTTTTATCTAGAATGCCCCCTAAAGTAGAGCCAGGTGCAAAAGAATATATGAGGAGATGAGATAGGTAGATTGCTACTACCCATCTCATGGATAACATAAATGCTATATAATCATTTGTGCATTGTGATTGTGCATTTGTGTGTTGTCTCTAATGTGTATTTGGGTTTGTGGATTGTGTATTTGTTTGTTGAAGAGGTTATGTAGGCCACTGATGCCTGATACTGTATATGCAAGCATCCTCCTATCCCACTTATCTAAATGCAGTCCAGCAACAAAATGGCTGGGAATATAGAGGTCGGCTTCTCAGGCCCACACAAGTGGGAAGGCCTGAGAGGATTCCTGGTCATAGGCAGCTTGTGTGTGGTGAGTACTAAAAGCCATCTGGGTAGACCTTGACACTGTAACTCTTCAGATGCCTTTGAGGAGTTGTAGTCCAAAAAAGGAGCTTTTCCAAGCTCAGGAAGGAGAATCTTGAAGTGAGAATCTAGAAATGAGGCCTAGTCTTTACATTCAACAGAATGAAGTGCTAACAGAATGCTTTGAGTACATAATGATATATTCTACATATTTAACTGGGGAGAATAAATACCAGAAGACTTGCACAGCAAGAACCCATCTAGGGGAAAAATTCTCTCTGGGGAACATTTTTTAAAACTTTTATGTGGCGATAGAAGTAGTTCACAATAGCAGCCCACCCCTACCTACAGCCTGAAGTGGAAAGAAGTCAGCTTTACATGAAGGAATTGCATCTGGTCAATAGGAATTCTAGATAGACCTGAAAGTGAAAAGACAATCTAGACAGCTTGGAAGTAAAAACGTTTTTCCTCATTTCTATCTGGGATTTTTCCTTCCCTCCCTCCCTCTACTTGCCCAGGTATTAGGATCTCAAGTATAATTTGTTAAATTGGATAGCTATGTCATAACTTATACTAAAACTGCTAGCTGGAAATCACAACATCAACCTTCAAGGCAAATTTCTAGTCATTTGACAAAGACACTTCTTTTTTCTATCAACACAAGGCGTGCCGGCTGAAAAAAATTCCTGGAGCTGTCCGTTCAGCACCCGCCATCTAAATCTCCCAAGCAAATTCTTACTTCCATTTTCAGTCATTCCCATTTGCAGTTGTTAAAAGCCAGGTGAACTCAAATGCAGGATTGGAGGAGACAGGAAAGGCATGACGTTGTAGATGTATTTTTTTTCCATCGTAGGAAAAGAAAATACTTGTGAAGATTCACCTTTGCAAGGTCTTAGTATGCAAGGCTGGCCCTACCACTAGGAACAATAAGGCAACTGTCTTGGGCAGCAGGTTTAAGGTGTCATGAAAAGGCAAAAAAAGTTAATTGTTTAATTTGTAGTTGTTCTTAGAGACTCCAGTTCTGAGATTTTCTGCCTCACAGGCTAAAATATCATGGCTGATTTTGAGTACTACACACCTTGACTTGGATACAAACAAAACATCTGGCTCTGGCTGGAGGGATAAAATAGGCCAGAAATTTAACCTATTGAAGCAGGAGGGTCCATTAATCTGTTAAAATAACATTTAAGCACAGTTTAAAAAACATAAATTGCTCACACATTTATAAATGTGCAATGCAAGGTGCAGTTAATTTAATATGAATAGTAAAAGGGTTCTTGAATCCTTTTGCTGAAAAAAATGATCATTTAGAGATCAGTGTCTCTGACATTTCAGGTACAATATATGTGTATTTGAGTGTCTGAATGTGCAAAATGTGATCTAGCAAAAATTCGGATAGGCTGACGTGGATATGCATATTCCTGTTTCTGATTTACTCAGACTCAATATGTTGCTATCTTTTACTCTATGCGTTGCTTATAATATTAAATAATTTCTCTCTGTGTAGTATATATACAGTAGAAGTAAGCACAAATCTACCAAGGTAGTTGATGACATGTAAGCAGTAATTCATCCACTTCCATGACTAAAAATGGGTGGCCTACCTCAGTTAAACAAACACACTCAAGATATGTTTGATTACACTTTCTACACACACCCTTCCAGCATGATTGAGACTGGACGGATGGGTGGGTGCACCTTCAAAAGACCCAGAATTTTCTGGGCAGTGTATAATAGATTTCTAAAAATATTAAATACAACCAATAAAACAAAGGCTACAGAAAGCAGATATTAAAACCAATAAAAAAGAGGAATAGGTTGCGGAGGCCTGCAGAACCACCGTTGCACATCAGATTTTGGACCATGAGTTACTCTCCCTTAGCCTTAGTTCCCAAGTCTGAAAAATGATAATATAGTGACCTACGCCACTGGCCTACAATGAGGTCAAATGAGAGCACTAAACAAAGTTTAGATTATTACTCCCAAAATTCTGTAGCCAGAATTTGGATCAAACTGTTTGGATCCAAATGTTTGGACCAAACATTGCAAGAGTGACCTTTATTAAATCAGACCAATGATTTATGGAGTACAGCACCCTGTTTCCCACAATGGCTAACCAGACACCCTATTTCAGGGGTGGGGAACTTTGGTAGACTTGGGGGCCAAATCTTTGTCTCTGGGATCCTGGGGGGGTGTCACCCAAAATGCCAAACCCCCAAATGACATCAGAAGTTGCTAGAGGCCTCCTTCCAATTTGGAGACATTGGTTTGTTTTTTAAAAAATAAGTTCTGCAACATATTTTTAAAAGGAATTGCAGCTCCTGAAGGCTTTTTAGGAGGAATCATACGTCATTTTTTAAAAACCAGGACAAAAAAAAAAAAACCCACTCCACAGCCATTCACTCATGAAAGCTCTTGCAGCTCCTGAAGGCTTTTTAGGAGGAACCATACGTCATTTTTTTTAAAAAACCAGGACAAAAAAACCCCACTCCACAGCCATTCACTCAGGAAAGCTTGCCTGAAGAGAAAGGTCTTCGCGTGTTTGCAGAAGGATAACAAAGATCTAGCCTCCTGTGTCGGGGACTTCCAGAGTCTGGGAGCAGCAACAGGGAGAGAAGGATAACAAAGATCTAGCCTCCTGTGGCGGGGGCTGTGAAGGTGGTAGGACAAGAGAAAGGCCTTGCCAGATGATCTTAACACTCCAGTTGAGAAAATGCACCTGTGAAGGTGGTAGGACAAGAGGAAGGCCTTGCCAGATGATCTTGACACTCCAGTTGAGTAGGCTTATCAAGGGAGATGTGGTCCTTGAGATAGCTTGGCCCCATGCCATGTAGGGCTTTTTAAGTTAGAACCATGAGCCTTGAAACGGATTGGCAGCCAGCGAAGCTGCTTTAATGGGGGTGGGGTGTGGGGTGTGTGGTCTGGAATGTTCTGAAAGGTCTCTCTGTGGCATCCCATGCACTGGCAGAAGGTTGGACTCCCGAGGCCTCTTCCACCTCTACAATTTCGATTACAACGCACACCTGAGTTATCCCTTGATGCTGCAGTCAGCAAGGGGCGAGAGTCACGCCCGGTGGAGAGGTAAAGGTGGCTAGCTCAGGCAGTAGACTTTGAACGCCATGAAAGAAGAGCAAAAGGGCTGAGGCTGTTTGGGTGGTTTTTATTTAGCAAATCGTTGGCTGCTTTCTCTCCCACACTCCCCCTGTCACCTTCCTTTCTGATCCATCCTCTTTTTTTCGCTCTCTTCCCTTCTTTCCGCCAGGAGAGAGACCTTGGCACCACAGCACGCCTCCCATCCAGGGCTCTTGGGGATACAGAGAAGCCAAGCCAAGCTCCAAGCCAAGCAAGAGCATCTGGGAGGGGGATTTCAGGAAATCAAACGCAGCGCTGGCGTCCTCCTTTTTTCTGTTTTCCAGCCCAAGCGGCTGCTCCCGCAACTACTGCTGCGGCTACTTCCGGGTTCCAGTCAATCTCCGCCTCTCCCTCCCTCCCTCTCTCTCTCTCCATCCCTCCCTCCCACCTACCCTGGGACCATCCCAATCGGGCTATATCAGAGGTCAGTGAAAAAATCGGGGTTGGGGGTAAGCATCTCAAAGCTGCCATCTTCACCCCCCGGAGACTTTGGATGGATCTGTTATTTCCCCCTCTTCTCCCCGTCGTCGTCGTTTTCTTCGCTGCCGCCTCCTGATGCTTTTGGTTTTGGATGCAAACATCACAGGGACGAGATAAGCATCAACATCACAATCGGCACCGGTGGGAAGCTGGGCAAAGCCATGAGGGGAAAGAAAAATGGCCCTGGCAGGCAGGCATGGGATTCATAGAGGATCTTTAGCAGGTTTTTGAGGATGCCGCCGTGTTTCAGGTAAGCTTCTCTTGGGGTAACCCTCTTGTGTTTACCTGTCAGTTTCGGCGTGCTTGTCAATTTCACTGGCACAGCCCTTTGATGTCAGGACTTCCTTGGCCACGGAGGGAAAAGGCCTTAGAAGTAGCAACAGCAACAACATTTATAACATAATGCATATATTATAAGGCAGGCTCTTAGTGCGGAAGGTGGCATTTCCCCTTTAGGATGCTCATCTTTCTCCTCGTTCTTATTTCCTTCTTTTATTTTTTATTATTATTATTTTTGCTCGAAGCAAAGCTACTGCATTGTGTTTTGAGATGTTCCCTTGTTTATCTTTTTTTAAAAATCTATTCAATTGCCCTTTTGGCTCCGTTAAATTTCTATCCCCACCCTCTTGTTTGTTTGTGATCTCACTGGGAAAGGTGAGTTTCAAGAATTCCTTCAAACCAGATCAGAAGCAGGGAGAGAATTTATATATTGGAGTGAACGTTTAAGAAAAAAAAAAGACCCTTGGCCTTTTATGGTGAAGTACAGAAGATGCATGGGAGAGGAAAATATTTTTGCACATCTGAGAGCCCGAAATCCAGAGATAAAATCAACCTTGCAGATGTGTGTATTAAAATCAGCATTTTATCTGTAAATTTTTGTACTATGTAGAACGCTTCTGCAGTGTTATCTCATGAGCCTAGTTATATTTCTTAGGGTCCTTTAAGTATGCCTGTAATGAAATATGTAAAATATTTTGAGTTATTTATTTCTCTTTTTTATAAATGATTTTCCTTTCCTTAAAAAAATATGTATTAGTCTATCTTCAACAAAGACATGCATATACATGTGTGTTTTAATATATAATATCACTCTAAGCACATTTCATCAATAAGCTCCATGAAGTTCAATGGTGCTTCTTCCCTAATAAATATGTTTGGGATTGCAATGTGATCCAGGCTCCTGGCATTAGCTACCCCAACTACTTTTAAACCTTAAGTCAATTTTTTTTTGTTTCCTTTCACCCACCAGTTTGGTCGCCTTGTTCTAACCTTGCAAGAGATGTTGAACAGATCTCTCCATCTCTGTGGATTTCATGATGAGTTTGGAAATGAGGAAGATCCGGTGCAATGCTCTAGTGTTTGGCTGTGGGCGAGCAGGTTCAGGTCCCTGCATGGTTACTACCAGTCACTGGGTGGCTTTTTTTAATATCCCTCTTTCTCTTGCTTAGTGTAATCTATCATACAAGGTTGTTGTGAAGCTGTTACGTGGCTATTAGCTTTGTGAAAGGGTGGAGTACAGGAATGTAGCACACAGCTGGGCTCCTGTTTTCGGATAGCTGTGTGTTTTCTTTTCCATGCATACAAACATGCCCCTGAACTAAACCTAAATGAAACACCTTTGAATTAGACCAAGCAGATATAAGCTGAAAAGGGAGAGATGGCTTAGAACTAGGCCTTGGGCATGATCCTGACCCAGTTAACATTCTCTCAACCCCCTTATGTGCCTTTGCCTGCACTGGTCCCCTCAGGCCTATGCATCCATTTCCTCTTTCTCTTTTTCCTCTTGCTTCCTTTTAAGACCACGCCACTTGTGAATCCCCTCTGTTTCCCTCTTCGTGTTTCTACAGAGCACTCTCCACACAGAGCTCACATAAACCTCGTCCTTCTCCTCCTCCTTTTCCTTCCTGCCCTTCTCCTGAGTTCCTCTCTCTCTCAGGATGTTAGAGCCCTCCTTTTCCTTCCTGCCCTTCTCCTGAGATCCTCTCTCTCTCAGGCTTGAAAATAAATAAGAACATGGTGGTGGGGGAGGAAACCTAATAACCAGAATTTCTATGCCTCTTGACAGAAAACATGACCATTCTGGTCCTCAAATGTATGGGGAACAAACTTCGATGGGCAGATTAGCTGGCAGATATACCTGGTACCACATGCCTATTGTGAGGGAATAAAAGGCCTAATTTTATGGGTGGTGCACGTATGCTCCGAAGCAATTGACAGGGCTTTCTAGTAAAGCTTAACGTTATTATACCTTTATGTGATTGCATCTTTTAGCTTAGGAGGAATATACAAGATCAACTATCATATCTAGATCAGCCTTAAACTATCAGCATTCATATTCCACCCACCCCAAACCCTCTGATTTGCAATGATGCAAGTGGAACATTAAAATATTTCAATTCTCACTGGAAAAGGAAGATGTTATGTAGATCAGCTTTTTCTCTTCCAGGCTGTACAAAAACAAATAGCTAAGAGGTTGTTGTTGTTTTTTGTCTCTGTGTGTGTACTTTTGACCCCCCCCCCAAAGTCTGTATCCTTTTCTTGTGTTTATTTGTCTTGCCAGTGCGTGCTTTCCTAACCCACTTACCCCTGATATTGGTCTTTTCCTCTTTCCCATCTAGATACTAGGTCATCCCATTTTCCTGGCAGGTTGGCCTAAGCAATAGCTAACTGTCAACTGAGATGTATGGGTGGGTTTTCCCTCTTGTTTGTTCCTTCTGCCAGATTCATTTGATCTCTGGCTTCTCCCATCAGCCCCAGGAAATGCACATAACTTTTCGTGTCAAGTCGGGGGTGGGCGGAAATGGAAAGGGAGATAGACATTTACATTGCCTTGACCTCACTGAGGGAAAGGCATGGTATAATGAAAACAAACAAACACACACACACACACACACACACACACACACACACAAAGCTGGTGGAAGCTGGAGAGGTTGTCTAGGCTGCGTCAGCTGTTTTCTAGTTGGGCAAGCCCTGTTGAGAAATGGACTGCTGCAATGCAAGGAACGGAACCCACCTGCACCCCAGGGACAGAAGCAGTGAAAGTCATCAAACCATTTAGGTTGCTTGTTCACATCTATTTTGCTAATAAGTTTGAATCCTGTTTCCTTCCTCCCCCACCACCAATAAGTGAAAGTAAGGGAGAAACAAAGACACAAGATGGGTGGGAGGACTAGTGTGTCAAGTTGTTTGTATGTCTAAAGCAAGGCATTATAAAAACTCTCTTAGATTTTCATGGTGCTTTTTATAGGCTGCTGGTTATACTCAAGTTTTGTTCCAATGTTTGTTCTACCCCATGCTGTTTCCCCCCTGTCGTTCTGCTATATGGTTTTTCATTGGTCTCTTGTTATTTGGTATTTTATGTTTTCAATTCATCTAGATTCTACCAAGAATACTTAAGCTATTAGGTGCTGTGAAGGTATGAGAAATAAACCCAGATAGACATACACACAGCCCCTAAGCCTGATTCAGATATTTAAACAAAAGACCTTGTTTCAGTTGCCTAATTTATGGTACACTTACAGCTATTAACAGTGGTGTCCAAAACATACCTTATCCTCTGGAAAAACCTTCACATTGGGGTCAGAAGAACATTTGCACACAGGCTTTTCAGAATGGTTAAGGGACAGGAACCAGGTGCCCTCCCAGTATTCTGGACTACAAATCCCATAAACTGCAACCAGCATGGCCGATGCACATAGATCTTTGGATCCGTTGTTCAAACATCTATAGAGTATCATGTTGCCTATCCCTGTGTGAAATAAGCACCTTCTTGTCCAAGCCAGATGGCCATACCTCCTATTTTATGGAAGACAGTCCTCTGTTGGAAGAAATGCCCAGCACAGCATGTGTAAATAATAATAATCTTAGAGCTGCAGAAATGGAAGGGCCCCTATGGATCACTGGGTCCGGGCCATGTCAAGGAGGCACAGTGGAGGAATCAGACTTAAACCACTGAGCTCTCCAGCAGTTCTTCTGCTATATCAAGTTGATTCTGTTTATGAAAACCCTAATAGGGTTTCCAAGATATGTGAGATAATTAAGGGGTGGTTTTACCATTGGCATCCCACAATGAGTTTCCATGGCCAAACAGCAATTTGAACTCAGGTCCTCTAGGTCAGTGGCCCCCAATCTTGGGCCTCCAGATGTTCTTGGACTCTAACTCCCAGAAACCTTCACCATCACATCTGCTGGCCAGGATTTCTGGGAGCTGAAGTCTAAGAACATCTGGAGGCCCAAGGTTGGGGACCACTGCTCTAGGTCACTGTCGGACACTCTGTTCAGTACACAGTGTTGGCTCTTATCCAGCCTTAGTGCTGTTTAAAGAAAAAGAACCCTAAGCAAGGGGAAAAGCTGGCACCTTGGCATTCCCCATCAATAAAGCAAACCTGATCAGCAGACTGAAAAGGCATGCAAGTCACCTGGCCCAGTCTTCACCAGAAGTGGAACCTGCTGTTTATGTTTTCCATCACCTAACAATAATTCTTCACAAGAGGTGAAGGTGGCAACTGTATGAGTGTTACACATATCAGTGCCATCCTTAATTCTTTCTCTTATTCTTGTTTGCCATCAAGTTGCCTCTGACTTGTGGTGATCCTATGAATGAGTGATCTCCAAAATGACCAGCTCAGCTCTCATAAGCTCAAGCTTGTGGTTCCTTTAGGAAGTCAATCCATCTTGCATTAGACTCTTTTCCTGCTGCATTCCACCTATCACAGTATTATTGTCTTTTCCAGAGAATCCTGCCTTCTCATTATGTCTCCAAAGTAGGATAGCTTCAGTTTCAGCATTTTTGCCTCTAAAGATAGTTCAGGCTTAATTTGATGTAGGACCCACTTGTTCATTTTTCTGGCAGTTCTCTTTCTCTGGTGGGGCATAAGTGGGCACCCAGTATTATAAATGTTATTACCATATTCCCTCCCTTCAAATGGCTCCTAAACACACATACTCTCACAGATGATTTCTGTGCATTTTTAAGCATAACACCATAATTCTAATAACCATGTTTTATGTGTATATAACTGCATGAATTTACATTCATCTTGTCTTTTCCTCCACAGATCCCAAGGGTGTTGTTTACCTCCATTGTATTTTTTTAAGGCGTAGGGATTTTTTAGCTTATAGAGTGTTGTTATGTGAAGGGATGTGAAGATGGCTTTATTTTGAAGGACACAAATACAGAAATGGCACACTATTGCTCTATTAATAATGATAGATAGATGGACAGAGAGACAAGCAGACAGCATCATGGCAAAAGCTAAGCAGAGCTGTTAGGTCATGTAAGCAGAGCAGCAGTTTCTAAGACTCCAGCTGTTCTTTATCTCAATTAAAATAAGATTTACAAGAGGGTTGTCTTCAAATCATGGAAGATTAGGCTTTGGATTCTCTGCAATGCAGGTTGTGGGGTGCAAGAGAATGCTTTGGAAATAATTTTTTTATTATAAAAAAATTAGCAATAATTTGCAGTATATTAGAGCCTCTTCCTTTCTTTCTCTTTTATAATTAAATAAAAGTGAAGAATGTAACTCACTGTTTTTCCTTCCTTGCTTCCTCCCTTTCTTTTATTCCCTTCATAGATTTACCTCAGTATGTCTTCCTCCAAACTCCAAGATGCAGATGAGGTTTTTGGTAAGCACCTTCTTGACTTCCTCGTTTTCCCATCCAGTGACTACCATCTAAGTAGATGAATGATTAACCCTCCTGGGATCTCCAGTGCAGGTTGTGTCCTGAAGTTAAAATTGAGGAGAAAAAGAGGATTGGGGAGTCAACAAGCTGTGGCCTTTGATGTAGAGTCACTCCCTACTAGTCTCAGATGTTTAAGAACTGGCTTTTAATAAAATATATATATACATTCTTAGAGGCATTGTTGTTATATTATCACCTCATCAGTTCAAGATTTGACTATGTTTTTTCAATTTAATGCATAGCAGATCATGAATGAACTGGTTAAGGTACTATTGAATGCATTTGACTCAATTGGGGAGAAGATTATAGCTGGGTATCTTCCATGCCAGCTGAATCTGCTGGTCTGGTATTCAGTGTGGACAGGCAATGTCAAGGCTCCTGATCTCCCGACTCGTTCTTTATCTTTAAGTCAGACATTGACTGGATGGCCCTTCAAATGGAGAACACCTTCAGCATAAGGATTGTGTCCTGGGATCCTTTTAAAGGAGGACTGACCTCCCTAAGAAAAGGACATGGGGTTGACATATTGTTCCTGTGGTTGGCAATAGTTCTGTAGGCCTTACTCCTATCTAATAAAATAATTTTTAGAATAATTATATGATTTTATGAGCCACCCCGAGTAGACGCTGTCTAGGGGGGCGGGGTATAAATCGAAAAATAAAATAAAAATAAATAAATAAATTACTCATGGGACCCCTTTAACTGGAGGCCTGGAAGCCAGACAAGGTGTTTTTAAGACAATTTAAAGCCAGGGGCCCCAACATGTCTTTCTTTTCTCGTCGAAGTCGGGAAACATTCCTTCTTTGGAGCACGAGAGTTTGTTTTAGACATCAGTTCCCATGATGGGTGGGAGACATAGCCCAGGAAAGTAACTTTTCTGAGCTCTAAAGAGCACACTAGTTGTTACTGCTGATGTGGCCACCTCTATATGTGAGGACCAAGGCAGGATCTTGTAAGGTGATTATGTATTCTCTTCTACTGTTGACCTTCTATTTAAAAACATCCTCTGTCTGAGGAACCATCCAGACAAAGTCTAGTTTAAAGTGTAACAATGAAAAGAAGGCAAAGCAGAAAGGGGCCTTAAAAAGGCATAAAGGTCAGTGGGTGATATCCATTTTGATTTTTAATTAAATTACAATAATTATTCCAAAAGTTGTACTTCTAAAGTTGCACAGGCAAATAGAATGTGAATTGTGTCAACTTTTCCTTCTTTTGGGGGGTTGGCAGTGTGTGTGGCCTCCCTAGGCCTGATGTCAGCATCCATGCCTTGGAAAAGTTACTACTCAGACTATGATTCCCAAAGTCCCCTTGTCAGCCTGGCCGTGGGCCTAGCAGTCTGAAGAGTATAGAAGTGTAGTGCAGTAAATATCTTTCCAAAGGTCTACCACAGAACATCTTCTGGCGGCCGCTGAGCCCCCAGAACTTCACCTGGGCTGGCTGCTGATGTGAGCCTTTGGCCAGAATTTAAAAGCTGTCAGGGAGCAATTTCACAACATTCCAGAAGATCACTCAGTTTGAAGCGCTGTGAGAAACTGACATGGCAGCTCCTCATGGCACAGAAATCATTTGGAGTCTTGCTGCTCTTTACTACAGCTGACATGAGCCAAACTGAGGCGGTCGCCTCAGGCAGCAGAGTGCTATGGAGGGGGCAACAGAGTTGCAAAACATCCCCCCACACCCCCACTCTCAACAGGCTGCCACCACCATTACTGGTCTTTTTCTCCATGTGACCAAAATCACTGAGTACTTCAGCCTCACATCGCTCTGTTGAGGCAAGAAGGTTGGTGCCGTTCTCTCTGCTGTCACAGACTGAGCATCATCCTTTGGTGTGATAGCACATACCAGGACCAGGGGGAGGCTGATGACTATGGTATCCCTCCTCACCTCAGCCTACTCTGGGAACAATGTCTTGGTCTTTGGGACTGAGGCATACATCTGGCAGAAGAGCCACCAAGGGCTACAGATGGATGGCAGTGAGAGAAAGTCACCGTAACCAGTATCCTCCCCTTCCTGCTCCTCGGTGGGTATGTGGGGCTGTGGTGGTAGTGGTTTTTTTACCACCTCAGGCAGTGTGAGAGCATGTGCTGGCACCCTTGTCCACCATCACCAGCGATCCTCAATGGAAAAGAGAAGTAATCAGAGCACAAATGCCCTAGAACTTCCTCAAACTGCCCCCGTGGTCCACCTTCTTCACCCAGAGCAAGTTGCAATATCACCTGCCTTTAAGAATTAGTTAGTTTTGCTGTGGTCGATTATCTCAAAAGTAGTTAGCTACCATTATTGTTAAAACGTTTAAAGCAATTCTTTTCATTTCCATTTCTCAAACATAGTTCAATGACATTTGAGAAATGCAAATGAAAAGAGTTGCTTCAATTTTTCTTTGAAAAGAATTCCGAACACTGCAAGTGGTTTGGCCATGATCCAAAACACCCTTTCCTCTCATCCAGCTTGGACTCGCTATGCGCAACAAAGCATGAAGCAGCAAGAGTGACTTGAGCCATTAGATATTCCTCTGTTGCCATTTAGGGAGGGTTCATACTGAAAATAAAAATAACTTTAAATGCTGCAAAGGGATTACGGTTATCCTTTATTAAGTTACAGCCACAATGTAAAGCAATGTTAATGGGGTTAATTGCAACTAATGAGATACCATTTGATTTATAGTTAGTAATGTAAATATTTTTATTTATTTTTAGTTATCTGAAATGAATTACTTCCTAGTATTAGTCCACCCTAAAAAATAAGCCTGCATCTGAAACCTTTGTTGTGCAGGCTGGATGTGCTGTTTCTGAATTAAGGCCACTCTTATAGCTTCCCTATTAGAAGTTCATGGATTTGTGATTTTCTAATCCCAGACTCCTATAGTCCTCTACTGGGCACCATATAATAGGCAAATCTGAACTTCTTGAATTACTTACGATACTCATGCATGTCACTCCCACTGGTGAATTTTTTGCACATGTTTTCTCTTATGTTCTCACTCTGAAATTAATGCACAGGGGCTTCCCACAGGGATGGACGCTTTTATCACCACCACCAACACATCACCTTAGATCCACAGAGCTCTAAGGGACGCTATGGATCATCAAGTCCATCCCCTCTCTAAAGAGGCACTGTGGGGAAGCAAACTCCCAACCTCAGAGATCTGAACCACTGAGCTATCCAGCAGTTCTTTCCCCAAACAGTGACAAACGGGGGAAATTAGTAAAGGCACTAAATGTAAAACCACAGAGAAGACACAGTTTAACAGTAGGATGGTGCAAAGTGACATAAACAAACAAGACAGAACCAACCTTGGCAGTACTCACTGTTCAGTGGGGTTTTTGATCAGCCTGGCATGATGCCCATTGCTGCCTCCTGGGCATTTTCCATTTCTCTCCTTCTGAGATTACAAGCCTGGTGTTTGAAAGGACAGAGGTAGAAAAGCAGGGAGTGGGTTTGAAATGGCCATGTGCACCTGCCTATTCTCTGTACCTGGAAAGGGAAAAGGAAAGGGAAAAATACATCAGACCCACATAGGTTCTTCCCACACCATCTGTTAAACCATGCCCCAGCTCTTTGCTTGTGTATGTGTTTGAACCCTCCACTCTCTTATGGTGCCCAAAGACTCTCCTGACCATCCTGGTAACATAAGAAGGTGTGTTATATGAGGAGACACTGTCCATCAAGCAGACTGTTGTTTACGCAGCAGAAGTTAGGAAAAAAATTTGTTTTTGGACTGCAGTCTTTGAATGCTTCAGCTAATGGCCAGGTTAGCTGAGCATTGTGGGCATGAAGTCCAAAAGTCACTTTTACAAGTTATTCTGTTCTGATTTGTAAATCTCCAAGGTGTTTGTCAGACATCTCCGTTATCAATCAATCCCTGTTCTTTTCAACTGGGCATGTCAGGAACTGGATCTTGAATCTTTGTCATCTTACTCCTTAGATTAGGGGTCTCAAACATGCGGCCTGGGGGCCATTTGCGGCCTGCTGGATGATAGTTTGTGGCCCCCGCCTTGCCTGCCCCCCGAAGCACCCACGTGTCCTCTGCTTTCAAGATTAAAATAAAATGCCTTGCCTTGCTTGCTGGCTCTCTCCCAGGACAGTGCCTCTGTGTGTGTGAGTGCGCACACAACTGTTGGGCCCCCCTATTCTGTATAATTCTGCAGGTACCGATGGGGGCTTTTCTCCTCTGGCAAGGCGATTCTGTGAGGCTTTTTAAAATTTTTATGTCGTGCCCTCCCCCCCCGGCTAGGCGGTTGCTGGCGCTCCCTCCCTTCTCCGCTTCTTCATCCTGCTGCTGCTGGTGGTGGTGGTAGTGAAGAAGGAGCCGGGGAGGGGGGCATGGCCCGCAATGAGGGCTTGCACGCCCCTCCTCCTCGGAGCCCCAGCCGGGCTAAGGAAACTCCTGGGCAGCTTCCTTGGGCTCTTGCTCCACTTGGTGGAAAATCTGATGCGGCCCAGACTCTGCCTCTAGCGGCCCCCAAGTAAATTGAGTTTGAGACCTCTGCCTTGGACATTCAATGGATGTGATATGGGAGTCTGTAATGGTAGTCTGCCATTTTATATATTACATTTATATGCAACGTCTACTCTTATCTATTTTATCTTTACAAGAACTCCATAAGCAGGTGTTCCTCCCTACATGGACAACAAACTGCTCTTATCTATAATGTAGGTGAGGCTAAAAATTGATAGCCAGTTCAAGGTTACCCTATCAGTTTTACTGCTAAGTAAGGATTTGAAGCTGGAGTTCCCTACTCCTTGTCTAAGCATGTGATCACATTGCTCAAATAATCTGAAAATCGTGTCGGGATATGATTGTATCTGTTCATGTCTCATGCTCTTTGTGTTGCTGTTCTCATCCTCATGGGGCAACCTCAGCTGAACCAGGCTGATTCCATGCAGAAGACTATACAGGTCTTTAAAGGGCCTTAAATAGCCACAGAGTTGATATTTTGCTC